ATTCTGAGGGTAATGACCTAAGCAAATGATCATAAGTTTTGTCTAATTTTTCAGTATCTTTTTGTGCGTTAATTCCATTTTTCTGTTCTTTGATGAATAACATCTCAGAAATCAATCTTTTATTATAATGAGATTCAATGTCCATAATACGTATATTATTCCAATCAAACGTATGTCCAAATCGATTGCAATGTTCCGATAAAACTGAAAGTCTTGCTGGATTTCTTTCAATATTATATTTATGTTCTTTTATTCTCGTGATCAATTTCCTTTTCGTTTGTCCTACATATGACGCATCGCAATAATTACAATCTACTTTGTAAACTACATTATTCTTTTGTATCTTTTCTGTGTTGTCTTTATGAACTTTAATAATTTTATTAAGTTTATTGATGCTTCTAATTCCTATGGTAAATACATCTTTGTTTAAGCTACCAGTAATAGAATTCGTAACTTTCTGAATATAAGGTAATACAAAAAGTTTCTTATTGAGAGGTTTACAATGTGTAATTTGGTTTTTATTTTGTGATGTATGTAATTTATAATTTAATAAATGATCAATTCTTTTTTGTATTTTACTGAATATAAGATGTAAGGGATAATTGTTATTTAATAATGTAGTGGTACAAAACTCAATGTTCTTAAGGGGTAACGCCACTCTAGAGCTCGAAAAAAAGACATGTTTTTGATCATTTTTTACGGAGATATAATAAAGGAAATGGAAAATCTGTTTATAGGAGTTTATTATACATGTGCTGAAGCAAATAAAAAAATTTTTTAATTAACATTTTTAAACAAAATGGCGGCTACATAATACGAAACTCGAGACCACCTCTCGCTGAAAGGGCTTCACGGCCGGAAAAGTTTCTCCCACAATTTTCAATCCGGAACAAAAAATCCAAATTTTTTGTAAACCATATATAATTGGCTACAAAAGTACGTAGGGGATTTTGAAAATATTGAATTTTGAAAAAATAATGCTTATTTGAAGAAAAAATTCATTTTTCAGTAAAAAATTTCATCGTAAATTGTTTATAACAAAAAAAGTTGACAAGATATCAAAAAACTTCTACGTACTTCTGTGTAAAATATAATTACAAAGCTACTGTTAAAATTTGAATTGAATCGTTCAAAAATTGTTCGAGTTATGTTTCCGGCCAACTTGAAAAACATTGTTTCGAGAAAAACGCGTTTAAAGTTTTAAGTACTAAAATAGTATAAATTTTTTTAATATACCTCTAGTCGGCAATGCCTGCACCATACATTTCACCTTCCAAATTCTCCTACTCTGCGTCTTTTCTGACCGATTTTAACAATACCCTGGCCTCTTTTGCCTTTTGCCACGAGTACCACGAATCTTTTCTTATTAATCGAGCGAAGGCAGTTTCGGTTTCGAAATAAGTACTTAAAAATTTTATCGCACTACGAGACCAAGTGTACATTATTTTTAAGACTCTAAGGCCATCATTTAAACAAAAAAAAATTTTTTTATTATTTTGAAAATTCTAGAGTGGCGTTACCCCTTAATATGAAATTCTGGATTAGACAGCAATAATGCTCTATTAACCATGCCATAAATAACACCTATTTTATGTGCTAAAGATGATTTGAGAAAAATGATAGACATCTTCCAGAGAAAGTATCTTTATGATACCAATCTATTTTTAAAATGTTGTCTCATTATAATAAAAGATTGATTTCTGAGATGTTATTAATCAAAGAACATAAAAATGGAATTAACGCACAAAAAGATACTGAAAAATTAGACAAAACTTATGACAAAACTTTGCTTAGGTCATTACCCTCAGAATAATATATATACATTTATACGATATGTCAAACATAAAAGTTTGTTTTCTTTTATTCTTGTGACAACTGTCGTTCAGTACATACCATTTTCCACTTTACATTGTTTCACTTGAAGGATGAAAATTATACATAGCATCTAATTTGCCGTAAGTTTAATAGTTTCATTTTAATTTATAATCTTCAATTTGTTTTTCCTAATATATAATAATGTGGATTTAGAATTATGATGCGGATAATTTTCTTTGTTCGGATTGAGAAACAATATTCATATTTCACTTGCTGACTCGATGGACTATAGTTTGAAAGATTAACCGTACTTCGTTTATTGTTACGTTTTATTTTGTCATGTATCATTTATAAAGAAGACTGAACAGGACTTATGTATAAGTTGAAACGTTTCTCAATTTTAATTATAGAATATTTTAATAAAAATTGTCATCATTTAATTTGTTGGCTTGTTTTAATACCGTAATTTTAATATCATTATTTTAGTTGTTTTTAAAACATAACAAGCGTTGTCTTTGTAATTACATTTTTATTTGTTTATAAGATTTAGAATAGTTTGATCAGACTTTAACAGCAAAATAATGATTTGTTATTAATGACACATTATTTAATAATTTTAAAATTATCAGGCACTGCCGATGGTCACGGTAATAGTTGGGAAGTCTCACAATGGTAAAAAAACCAGAATTCTTTCCTTAAGTGACATGATCGGCGATATAAACGAGTTCCAATTTGAAGCTGGAAGTCGAACTGATATAAAACCGGGAGAGCCAAAATGGGCAAACTATATAAAAGGATGTATCGCCAATTTTATTTGTAAGTTAGTCGCAATTTTTTGATCGTTATACATAATCAGAAGCTCGGAATTAATTAATCTTTAAAAAAATTTTTGAAAAACACTAAAAAAAAGTTAAATGTAATCCTGTGTTATTAACTGTAGGATACTTTATATATATAACGCAAATTAATTAATATACATTTTAGGTGACGTTCCCGCTTTTAATGCTGTAATTGTATCAACTGTACCAGCAGGAGCCGGGCTCAGTAGTTCTGCAGCTCTAGAAGTAGCGACTTACACCTTCTTGGAGACCTTGAGTGGGAAAAAACCGGAGAAACCAGAACTAAAGGTAACTAATTTTTTTCTAGCGATCATATAGCTTTTTTTCTAACAGAATAGTAACATAGTGTGGTATTAGATAATACAGGTTGTCTGAGACCATCCCTTTTATCTCGGAAATAGAGCATTTTAGAATAAAACGTTTCAGACAAAAGTTGTGGGGTTCTCTAAATGATCCATTCAGATGAATGTTCAATTTGTACTGGTACCTTTAATTAATAATATATCAGTTACTTTTCATGGTAATATATCATTATTACATAAAAAGTTTAAATTTTTAAGTATCTTTTGAACATGGCTTGAACTTTTCATTTTTATGATATATATATATACAGGGTGACCCATTTTAACTTCCCCACCGGATTATCTTGAAGGGAATGCATTTTCTGAAAAAAAGTTTCAGATATAAGTTTTAGTATTTTTCCCTGGCTATTTAATGGCGATATTGAATTTGACCTCGATTGTGAATGTGAAGGTCATTTAAAGGTCAAGTTAATTTTTTTAAATGGGAACCACTATTTTTTATCGCAGATTTGGAAAGAGCGGAAAATTTCACGTCCGAATATGACCTTGACAATAATCTACAGTTCAACGTCAAGGTCATTTTAAAGTGAAAGTTCCAGACGTCCGTTACGACAAAATATCTCGGCGGGATTGCATTGTTTGGAAAAATGTTACGTACATAAGTTTCAGTATTTCGAGTTGGCTACCTGGTGGTGACCTTGAAAGTAACCTTGGAACCAAGATTAGGGGTCATTTGAAGGTCAAAGTATTGTCCTTAATGGGACCAACTGTTTTTGAATCCGGAATCAAAAAGAGCGGTAAATTCTGCATTCAGACATATGTATAATTTTATAATTAAAAATAATTTCATCATCTCAGGCTTTAATGTTCTAAATGAGTGTTCCAGTTTCATACGTTATTTGTAAATCCCTGCTCTTGGCATTACCTACGATCAACGACGTGGACGTAGCAGAAATCTGATCCCTTTGGGGTGTTGGTTTATTGTGAGTAATCCCCTTGCCTCTCACGTGCATGTGTGTGTGTGTGTGCGTGTGTGTGCGTGCGTGCGTGCGTGCGTGCGTGCGTGCGTGCGTGCGTGTGTGTGTGTGTGTGTGTGTGTGTGCCTGTGTGCGTGTGTTTTGTGTGGTGTGTCACAGCAGGGACAGGACCACATGGTTCGTCAGTTCCACGGTATTTAAAGACTCCAAACTCTCTCTGTTGCTTGTGTGTGTGTGTGTGTGTGCGTGCGTGCGTGCGTGCGCGCGCGTGTGTGTGTGTGTGCGTGCGTGTGTGTGTGCGTGCGTGTGTGTGCGTGCGTGCGTGCGTGCGTGCGTGCGTGCGTGCGTGTGTGCGTGTGTGTGTGTGTATGTGTGTGTCCGCGCGCGTGTGTTTTGTGTGGTGTGTCACAGCAGGGATCAGGACCCTATGGTTCGTCAGTTCTACGGTATTTAAAGACTCCAAACCCTCTCTGTTGCTTGTGTGTGTGTGTGTGTGTGTGTGTGTGTGTGTGTGTGTGTGTGTGTGTGTGTGTGTGTGTATGTGGACAGACATGTAAAACGAATTTATTGTGAACGTTAAAGCCTGATTGTGAAATGATGAAATTATTTTTATTTACAAAATTATACATATGTCTGAATGCATAATTTACCGCTCTTTTTGATCCCGGATTCAAAAACAGTTGGTCCCATTAAGGACAATATTTTGACCTTCAAATGACCCCTAATCTTGATTCCAAGGTTACTTTCAAGGTCACCACCAGGTAGCCAACTCGAAATACTGAAACTTATGTACGTAACATTTTTCCAAACAATGCAATCCCGCCGAGATATTTTGTCGTAACGGACATCTGGAACTTTCACTTTAAAATGACCTTGACGTTGAACTGTAGATTATTGTCAAGGTCATATTCGGACGTGAAATTTTCCGCTCTTTCCAAATCTGCGATAAAAAATAGTGGTTCCCATTTAAAAAAATTAACTTGACCTTTAAATGACCTTCACATTCACAATCGAGGTCAAATTCAATATCGCCATTAAATAGCCAGGGAAAAATACTAAAACTTATATCTGAAACTTTTTTTCAGAAAATGCATTCCCTTCAAGATAATCCGGTGGGGAAGTTAAAATGGGTCACCCTATGGGGCATTCCATCCCAAGTGTGCCACTCGAAAACTTATGGATTTTTGATTTGACTGAAATTTTGATATATTATAGTACTCATCGCAGGAAGCTGCCATGATTTTTTTCGAATTTTTTTATCAACATAGTCATGAGATATGAATTTTTTTTCAAAATTCGCAATTTTCAAATGCCTATAACTTTGCGAAAAATAATCCAAATAAAACCTTTTTTTTTTAAATTATGTGTTTTGTTCTCTAGATTTCAAAAAAAAATACCAAGAAAAATTTCAAAATTGTTTTTTTAATTTAATGTAAAAAAATTATTAATTTTTTAAAGTATGACACGTTAAATTTTTTTTTTAAAAATTCCCATAAAAACTTAAATTTATTTGATGTTTTTTAAAATTTGATCGTGATCAAATTTTTCCTTCTATTTTTTTTCGAATTAATTTTTTTTTAATTTTGCATTTTTTTACACGATAAAATAATGTATAGATATAAACTGTGACATTTTCATTTCCTAAAATTTTCGATTTATTCTCAATGTAATAACTTATTTTTTTATATTTACCTATTTAAAAAAAAGTGTTTCCGTGATTGTTATTACTAAAATTATCGTTTTCGTATTATGAATTTTTTTACAATATAATTTTTCATTTTTATAAATTGTTATTATCGTCCAATCTTATTTGTAAGAGTATTATTGTACGGCTACACTTCTGCATGCAAGAATTAAGCTAGCATGTACAATTACTAAATTTTATTAATTTTGCCCATAAAAACGCAAAACGTAGTACGAAAGTTTTATGGGCAAAACTATAATCAAATTTAGTAAACCACAGAGCTGCTCTGTGAAGTTGGCACCCCTAAATGCGAATTTTGGTAAAATCATTATTGCATTCGTTTGTCCACTGTTTGTCCACGTTTGTCCATCCGTTAATTTCGCTTGTCTACCCTATTTTTATTATTGGTACGTCCAAGCCCCAGGATTCTTTATTGGATAGGAAAATTTAGGGATTGAGGAGGGGGGATGGGAGGACGCAACTGACACCGCTCTTGTGGCAAACGCTTCAAGACGCGTGCCACAAGTCGGAGACGCAATAAGGTCACAGATATGGGTCAACGTCAACGTGCAACGCTATTACCCGGTCCTGTGACTGTATCTCCGTCGGTCCCCTTTTAGATCAAGGAACTTAATCCTTTTGATCAGGGATCGGACCGTGCGACTTACAATTAGTGGGATGAGGAATGAGTCGAGGGAAGTTCTGAATAAATTACAGGAATTTAAAATAAGATTTTTATTTTTAATGCATGGTGAACAATTTTAAAATAAAACATTAGTTAATCGATCAATACTAGCTTAACATCTCTATGAATTATTTTAATATTTATAACCGTTTTTTATTGTCAAATACGGCTTGTATGTGTATGATGTAGAAGGTTCTGATGAGGGAAAGGGAGATTGAGTATTGAGATATTCCTCTAATTCGAGGTATAACTCATTATTGGATATTTCTGCTTCGAACGGAACGGGGGAATATGAAATTGGGGTTAGAGGAGGAAAAGAGAGTGATGTAGAGTCTGGAAGGGGAAGAGTCTCGGTTTCGGTCAAGTCTATGACCGGTATACGTTCGTTGTTGTCTGCGGTTGTGTTTTGTTATTGTTTGTTGGAGTACTGGTCTTAGCTGGTACTTGATAAATCTCGTTTGAGGAGGTCCTTGATTGAACCCTTGTTACAGTTGGAATTCTCAGCCGGCGCAAACACTCAATCCTGCTTCGCTTTCCACGTCCCGCTCGATGTTTATTATTCCAGACCATCTACCATTAGGACCATCTTTCATTAGGGAAACAGGAAAAGAAGAATCCAAGGGGGGGGGGAGAGAGAGAGAGAGAGAGAGAGAGAGAATCGCTTGAGGCGGCGGTCGCTGAAGCAATTCAGAAAGTATAAAAAGTAAAGAAAGTGAATCGCTTGAGGCGTCAGACGCTATGCAATTCAGGAAATAAAGGAAAAGAGAGAATCGCTTGAGGCGTCAGACGCTGAAGCAATTCAGAAAATAAAGGAAAAAGAGAGAATCATACACGAAGAAGGAAGGGAAGAGAGAGAGAGATATTGTAGATGGTCGAATAAATAAAGAACAACAAAAAAAATTGACTTCTTACTTTTAGGATGAATGAGGTGTTGATAGATGGCTACCGGAGTCTCTCGAAGATCGGGGCCTATGATGAAGCAGGATCCTGGACCGGCTGGATGTAGTCGCTGCTTTGGTCACAGGAACTCCGAAATTTTATAAATGTCACACGCGAATCACTGAGTGCGGAAGTTCTATTGAGACTGGTTTTAAATGTAATATCTAACTGTCTATGGGAACTGTCAAGGATCTGATCCGCACTATTAGAACTAAGGAAGTGAAGTGTTTTTCGTAGTCTCGCGGCTTCGTATTTATACTTGCGGAGGGCAATATGCCCTTCTTTGTTTGCGAGAATCAAATTTTGGGAGTAGGAATGATTTAGGTCAAATATGTGCTGATGTATCGAAGATTTAAATGGTTTTATCTTGAACCGGAAACGCGTGTGCAGTATCGAACGCTGATCTATAAGTTTCTTATAGGATCTATGAGTGGCGGTTGGTCTTTTAACTTCGCGACGCGGCCAGTTGTAGAGTCTGGTAGCTGAATTTGTTAACGAGAAAAATTTTCTTTAATCATTTAATAGTTGTCGATATCTGCTCACCCGTTTCTATTAAAATTTGAAGTAAGAAGCAGGAAGAAACGATATTATTTGTTTAGGTTTCCTCGTACTCCTTATTACACGTAGTTTCGTTAATATGCTTGTTATCTATCTAACGTTCCACGAAAGAAAAGAATCGTGGAGTCCTCCGGACGTAACAT